GTAAAGGAAGAATGTCCAGCAACCAGAACACTAGAGTTGTCAGTGGTAAAAGGCTCCCCAACTTACACAAGCTGTGTACATGAATCAGATAAACATGCTTGATCTTTGAAAATCCAAAGAAAATTACATGGTTGCAACTACAAGATATAATCCGAAAGGATCTGAGAGATTTATTACTGAAATTGATAAATAAAAATTAATAATTCTACAGTCTGGATGAGGGAATAAATGAGAATTCCATATGCCAAAAATAAGTTCCCCACATTCCTTCACCAAGTTCGTAATAAACTTATGTATAAAAATCATCTTTTCCTTTGAGAACTATGATGTAAAAGAAGTAAAATTAAATTATCAAAGGAAAAACAAAAATGCTTCTAGAAAAGCCAAAACTTCTTCTTATTTCTGACTCTATGGTAAATGCAAGCACAGTTTGCGGGGAACGCAGAATTTACCGCCAATCAAGGGGTAGCTCATTTTAACTTGTGAAGTCTTGGAGAATGAGAGGATCTGATTCTATCATCTATATACCATTCTATGTACCCCTGAAGCACATTCTAACTTGTGATACAATCTTGGAGGTATGGGTGGCTCTGATTTATATACCTTTCCCATAAAGGCTTATACCTTCCAATAGCCAATTTTAGCCATGGCTTCATGTTTCCATTAAAGTGAACAACTGCTGCACTGTCAATCAGACGGTTGTCTATGTTGAGATCATAACCTAATCCTAAGACATGCCATCTCCGATCAAGTGGTTCTGTGAGTCCATAAAAAGCTAGAAGGCCAGCAGGAAGGGTTCCCAATTTCCACAGTGTCCGATCAGCATTTTGCTCCTGCCAGTAATGATAACTTGCAGTCACATTTGCTTTCCTCCAAGCAATCAGATCAAAAACATTCATACCAAATGCCCATCCACATGCCTGAGGGTCAATCCTCGAGCTGATGACTGGATTTGAGAAATTGAGATATTTGTAATATCGATGAAATGCTTCAAGACAAGTTTCCACTGCTCCATTTACATTTCCATGAAGATCCAAAGAAAAGAGTGGTGTCACATCCTTTTGCACTACGACATCATCATCAAGAAAAACTATCTTTTCAAGCTGTGGATAGATCTCTGGGATGTAAAACCGAAGATGATTCAGCAAGGATATATGCTTTGGGTTCTGCAGCTTTATCTCAACCTTCGAATCTAGATTTTCTCCAAAATAGTAGGCCCGTGAATTTGCATCAAGCAGCTGTTTTACAATAGGAGAATAAGAAGAATTCAGCCAAGAGAGCTCCTCTATGTTCTGCACTTCTATTGTGGACCCCTTGAAATCATTTGTGAGGAACCAAGCATGCATAGCTTCATAGCTGACTCCATTTGTGACAATATGGAAGACAAGCTGCTTTGGGTGATCAGCATTGGAAACTGTAGAATTTACCACTACAGAGGTAGCCAGGATATTATCTGAAAATATGCAAAAGTGGTAGAGATTGTTATCCACAAGTCTAGGAGAGTTTCTCCTCTCATTTGCAAGTTCTTGAAGGGCCAGCTTTTTATGCCAATGAGCTGTAAGCTTGACTATGAGGCAGTTAAGGCTCTTTGGTAGGGCTTCAGCCACCAATTGTCCAAACACTGTACTCTGAAC